TGTTGTTGAGGGGTATGCGGTGCTTCTCACAAAATGCCATGCTAAGCTGAAGTGAGCAAAATAAACACCATTTTCCTACACAGTCACAAATGGATGAACAAACATGAAGAAAGCAGGAAATAGACATTGTCAGAAAAATATAAAGTAGGGGAAAGAAACCCCAGAGAAGTGAAAACAAAGGATCTTCTTACTTGGAAAAGAGCTGCTGATTGCCCCTGTGTCACCTTGCCATGAGCAGCTCAGCTAAATCTTGTGTCCTTCAGCTGTGAGAGCCACCTGAATGGACTTGTCCACAGAAGCCTGTGCTGCTCTGAAAGGAGAAGATCTTTGGGATGAAAGTGCCACATCTGTTCCCACAGTGCTGACAGCCATCCTGGCAGTGTCACTGTGGTTGTTGACAGCCTGCTTTACGGCTCCTTCACATGCTTTGTGCCTTTTCCCAAGCCACAAAGTGATGCACACTCAGTAAGGAAGCAGAAGAAATAAGAAGAAACTAAGTGGTGACATAATCCAATAAAAAAGTCAAATTCTTCTCTACCCACTCCTTCCCAGGACATTTCCACATCCCAGGTTACCACTGAAACAGCTGAGTAAGGTCGAATTCCTTCAGTGCGCCAAAAAGTTTGCCAAGCCCTATCCAAAAGTCACTTTCCTCTTGTGCCACACGGCACATTTCCATGTATAAAAAAAAAAAAATATATACCTAACTTTCTGCAGGCAAATGTAGTGTTCATTAATATCAGTTACAGACTCTCAATTTGAGTAAAGCCCTGGGCCAGGTGGTGAGCAAAAATACACATGGTTGTAATCCATGTGTCCCTGCACCACCTGTTTGCTTGTTTTCCCAGAAAATCACAAGTCTGATGCTTTGTCCCACTTCGCTGCCTGATTTATATTATCAAACTTTGGAAAATTCCAGCTGTGCTTTTAGTCAAAGCTTAGGTAAGATTAATTACTTCACTCAAATTTATTTAGCAATTAGGAGAAATTAGACCGTAGCTGAGTTTGCTCCTTTGCAATGAAGGGCCTGAGTCCTCAGGTCTAAATGCTGGGTTTAGAACTTCCTGATTTCAAAGTCTCCAAACAAGTACTTTACACTGCAATTGTTGTTGCATCATTCAGCCTCCAAATAACCTCCCTATTCAACCTGTGAGCATACTAATGATCAAAATATTGATCAACAATGATAAAAAATAATGATCAACAAATAAACAGGAATGTGAATCTTTGTCGTGGTTTGATGCTGGTGAAATTCCAGGCACACATGAAAATCACTCACTCGCCCTCCCCTGCCTCAGCTGGGCAGAGAAGAGAAAACTGAGATAAGGACTGGGAGAAAACACCCCAAGGGTAAAACAGGATGAGCCTAGAGGTACAAAGTGAATGCATTACTAACAAAATCAGAGGAAGATAATGAGAAGCAAAATAAGCCCTTAAAACCACCTTTTCTTTCCCCTCACTCCTTCCCACTGACAATGCAGGGAGAAAGGGCAATTTGTCAGTTTGGTCAGTTTGTCACCCAAGATTTCCTTCTGCTGCTCCAGGAGAGGAGTCCTTCCCCTGTTACAATTGAACAGAATGGGGCCATGGGGTCACTTCTAGAGGAGAGAGCTCTGATGAACCTCTCTGATATGGGCCCAATCTCACAAGTAGCAGTCCTCCCAAAACTGCTGCGATGTGGGTCTCTTCCCATGGGGTGCAGCCCTCCAAGGCCAGGCTGCTCCAGGCTGGAAGCAGGGCCCTCTCTCTCCACCAGGTCTCCCACTGGATCACAGCCTCCTCCAGGCACCCACCTGCTCTGGCGTGGGCACCTCCTCCATGGGCTGTGGGTGGATCCCCACGAGCTGCAGGTGGGTCTCTGCATCCCCTGTGGATCCCCATGGGCTGCAGGTGCATCTCTGTGTCTCCTTCACCATGGTCTTCACCATGGTCTTCACCATGGCCTTCATCATGGCCTTCACCATGGCCTTCACATGGTCTTCACCATGGCTTTCACCATGGTCTTCACCATGGACTTCACCGTGGTCTTCACCATGGTCTCACCACAGTCTGCAGAGGAATCTTGGCTCTGGCACCTGGAGCACCTTCTCCCCTTCCTTCTCCACTGACCTTGGTGTCTCCATGTTGTCTCCCTCACATGTTCTCACCTCCTCCTCTTCTTTGGCTAAAAAAAGCCCCCTGTGTCCCCCATTGGTTTGATTGTCTTCTTAAATCTGTTATCACAGAGCCATTACCATCATCTCTATTTGGCCCAGCCTTGGCCAGCAGCATGTCCATCTTCAAAGCCATCAGGAATTGGCTCTGCCAGACGTGGTGGAAGCTTCCAGAAGCTTCTGACAGAAACCACCACTCCCCTCCACCAAAAACCAGGCCGTACAAAACCAACACAGTATTTTCCATAATAGTTTTCGGTAGCAACTTTTCTTTCTCAGCCTTGTCGGAACTCAAAATGTCCCTCAGACATTTTTGTATGTTCTGGGCCCAGGTCAGAAGCATTTGAGACCCTGGCAGGCAGCTGCAAACAGCTGTGATTTTGGGTTTGAGCCATGGAATGATTTACCAACCTTGCAGGAAGATCAAGAAGTCACAAAAATTTAGATACTAGAGTAGAAGTAGTCACAAAGTAGAGGGAAGAATTTTTGAGTGCTGTACAGGGGGGTTTTGGTTTTGTACATGGGGGTCAAAAGTTTTAAGATGGAGGGATTTGGGCCTGTCCTGTCCTCCCTTTTTCTTCTTCCTTACCTCCATGTTCTTGGTGATGTTGACACTCACAGATTGGTTTAGAGTAGAAAATCACCATTTAATATAGGTAATAGGCATTGGGGAAAACTGTAACCATGTAACACGTAATATACCCTATAAAAGACAACAGCAGCCCTGGGCAGGGAGAGAAGAAGCAGTCGGGGTCAGAGAGGATGTCAGGGTGTGTGTGTGCCTCTGCCTGAGCTGTGAGCAAACCACAGCAGCCCAAGGAGAAAATCTTTTAGATAACTTGCAACAAACAACCATGAGACTGAACAACAGAGACTGCTGAGCCTCTCTTTGGAAGCTCGGGTTGGAGGAGAGACTTTTCCACCACACGGAGCCCCTGAACCAGACCTAGGTTCTGTCAAGTCTGAACGTGTGGCACTGGTAACACTGGGCCCAGGAAATGCCTTGTGATGCTGTGTTGAATGTTGTGACACCATTGGGGAATCATCAATTCATGTTATTCAGGAGAAACCTTGTCCTCTGCAGAAACTGCACGCCCAAATCACGTGCATACACTTGCTGCACACACCCCATGGCTTTAGAGCCCTCAGGTCACCACACTAGCCCTTGTTGCAGAGGGACAGGGTGCTGGGACAGCCACTGAGGCTCCAGACCCAGCCCTGAACCTCCACTCTGCCCAAGGACAGTTCCCAGCACCTCTGGTTTTGTTCTTTGTCCAGTTACTCCCAGTCAACAGCTGTAAAGCACAGCACGTGTAAATCTCATTGTTTCACAGTGCTGCTGGTGTTCTCTGAGAAACAGCCTGGCACGTACAGCACCATTCCTTGGAGCACAGGAGATGAGCTACTGCTGTGCAGAAGCTCTCACTGAGAACACAGTGCACATCTGGAGTTATCAAGGTGCTGATGCCAGCTTGCCTTGAGTCAATGGGGAGAGACAGTGCTGCAGCAGATGAGGTTTTGGCCTAAAGGGATATAAATATTTGGATATCATATTGCTTGATTAGCTCACTAGATAACTTCATGTGAGACAGCTGAGCAAAGTCTTAAAGAGATCAAGAACATTCTTAATGTAAAACTCCCTTTAGTGTAATAGCTTTTCTTCAGGGGCATTTAAGGTTTCTGTGGCCCATTTTAGGGACCATTTTAACATGGTTCTGATATACAGTTTCCTTTGCCTCTCTCTCCATATTTACTATATTTACATTTTTTATGTAACAGAATTTAACAGGTGGACTGGATCCGATCTCCTCATTGTTCATCTGGTTGCACCCTTTCAGGACACTAAAAATTCCTTAGTGTATTTTCAAGTATTAAACTGGATGTTCAAAACAAAGCCAAGGAAAGTATTTGTTGTGAGATTCTTAATTCTCTCTCCTACATGCAGACACTGGGTGCTTTCCAATCTTCTTCAAGTTTTCTGGAAGGAATGCCACAGTAGTGGCTCTTTTATCCCAGATATATTTTACATTCAGAGGTTTCTTTCCTTACCTTCTTTTTCCAGAGCTAAGTGCCCACTAGCTCAGAAGAGCCCAGCCTTGTGCACTGGGGACACACAGTCTAAGTTTTCTGCAGACCACCTACACCCTTCATGACCTTTGACAGCCTCTGATGGGGACAATGTAATGTGTCCCACTGTGCACCTTGGAAAATGACAGCTAAGTGAGTAAGTCTGGAGGTGAAGAAGACAGGTGATGTGCCACACATTTCCTTTCCTTCTGGACAACTGGAAAGCAAAAGTACTGCTCCCTCAGCTGTGAGTGCTTCAGGGCAGTGAGGAGGCAGCGTTAGCAAAGGACACCAAGCCTTTAAGGATTCACTGCCACTTTTCTGCTCGGAGTAATTCCCTGAGAGGGCAAGGAAAGCTGTCAGGGGTCCTGTGATTTACGGCTATTCACTGTGTGTCCCTCCTGCTGGAGCTACTGCAGCTGCACTCCAAAAGACAATAGCCAGAGAGAGACACACAGAGAAAGGTTCCCGGGGAAGCACATCACCCTCCTTCCTCCCCCTCCTTTCCATTTTGTTTGTATTTTGCTTCTGTGGCACATCAGGTGCAGGCTGCTGCTGCCTGGCACAGGCGAAACCCAAAGCGGAGGGCAGACGGGGTTTGTGTGCTCCATGCTCAGCCTTGCTAACAAAGCCCCTCTGCCAGCTCCATGCACTCAGGGGCTTTGAGGCAGAGGAACCCCAAAAGGGCTGTGCTCTATTGTCTCCAGATCGTGCTGCCTCTTTAAAATCAGAAATGCACGGACAGCTTCGAGGTGCCTCCCACCGAGCAGAGGCTTTAGATGCAGGCACAGAGGCAGAGGAGCCATCCTCCCCTGAGCACAGGGCTATCCTAATGGGAGAGAAGGCAGCGCTCAGCAGAGTCCTTGGGCTGCTTCCAGTGGTCCTTTCTCTCCTCCAGGAGCAGCAGAGGAGAAACCTGGCGGCTCTCCACAGTTCCTGAGGCCTCCAAGATGAGCACAACTGCAGGTACCCTTTGAGTCTTATGTCAGTTTGTAGATGGTTTTGTTGTCTGTATTTGTTTTACAGCTCTTTTGGTATTCCACAGCAGTGGAATCTGTCACAGATACTGCCCCTTGCTTTGGCCAACAGATTTTTCATCCAGGTGTTTATATAGCACTCCTCTTAAATGAACGTTTACCTTTCCAGGCAGTGGAAGTGTCTCCTGAAGCAGCCTCTTGTCAGAATTGTTTCATTTCAGGCTTCAGCTTTCTGTCATTCTGTTCTGCAATGCTCAGTTTAAAAAACAACGTGGTGACCAAAGTTGTAAAAGAGAGTTTCTGACAGGTATTTGTTAAGTGTCGGTACATCAGGGTCTGAAGGTGGTTCCAGGGAAAGAAGGGAGCAGATTACCCTTTGTAGCTGTGACTGCTATTGTTCAGTAGCGTTTGACACCCCGAGGACTTACTGCTTCAGGGTAGAAAAAGCAGTAATGCTCCCAGATCCTCTGCTCGGATGAGGTGAGGCTGTCCTGGCAGCTAGGGGTCTGCTGTGATGATTCCTAGATGGCCCATGGGAAGATACAAGAAGATGCCCTCTCAGCATTCTGATACAGAGAGGCAAAAATAAGGAGTAGATGAAACTTTTTTTTCCCCCTCTGTGTGGGAAAAAAATAATATTTTTTAAATATTTGGTACAACTGGCAGTACAAAGAGGGGAGCCTCCTCCTCCCAGCATCAAAAATGCAAGGCACTCTCTCTTGCTTACAGAAGATTTTCTCTTTCACCTTTCACTCTCTGTGGAAACACTTTCCCTGTGAATGGCAGATTTGCCTTCACAGCTAAGCTCTACAAGTTGGTTCATGGGGTAAAATTCTTGTCTCTGCAAGTTGGCATACTTCAGCTGTTTGACAGAAGTGATAATGGATTACACTGGCAGAAAAATTTTGTCCTTGACTCAATTAATGGCTGCCAAAAGGGAAGTGAGGGATGTAGTATTTTCTTGGGTCTTTGTGACTCTTACTTCATTAAGAAATGTATTTAGAAGCAAGAACATCAGTTCTCTTTTCATTCCCCTCTACCACATCACTGTGAAACAACCAGAATAAACTTTGTCCAAATGGCACATTAAATGCTTTACAGCACACTGAGTTGTCATTTTAGCGTCTTTTACCTTGCACAGTGATGACAGCACCATGGGCTTGCGGGCTGGTAGAGTTTTAAACTAGATTTTACATTCCTCCTAGACTGTCATTTCACTGCCTAGTGAAAATTTCATTGTTAGTAAATAAAACTGCTGCTGTAACAAACAGTGCATGAAGCAACTAGAAGCATTTATTTTGTAAGAACAGAAGCATCCCTTCACAGGGTATTTCCTCCTTCTGTGCACATGCAGCAACAGATCTGTGGGGCAATCAGGTGGCTATTGCTTTCCTTCAAGATCAGTACTTTTGCTGTCATTTCCTTTCAGGAAACATTTTCTTCTTTTTGTTCCCACAGAAGGAGACAAGTGAGGCTGTTGTCCCACAATCTTCTGGGGACAAACACAAGGTTACTCACAGCAAAAAAGGAAGTTTTGGGGGAGGTCTCTCACCTGCCACTCTTGTGGCTAACACAACACCAAGCTGCACATGCCAAAAGAAGACAGACGTGGCCATGGAGCAAACTGAAGGCGACCTAAATGCCACCACCCACCTCAGCTTTGCTGCAATCTACGACATCCATGACGGGGATTTCACCTCTCTGAGAAACTTCTCTTTCCCTTTCAATTTCACTTACGGTGATTACGACCTGCCACTGGACAGCGAAGAGGACATGACCAAAACCCGCACCTTCTTCACAGCCAAGATTGTGATCGGGGTTGCTCTGGCTGGCATCATGCTGGTCTGTGGCGTTGGCAACTTCATCTTCATCGCTGCTCTCGCCCGCTACAAGAAGCTGCGCAACCTCACCAACCTGCTGATCGCCAACCTGGCCATCTCAGACTTCCTCGTGGCCATCGTGTGCTGCCCCTTTGAGATGGACTACTACGTGGTGCAGCAGCTGTCCTGGGAGCACGGCCACGTCCTCTGCGCCTCCGTCAACTACCTACGAACTGTGTCCCTCTACGTTTCCACCAACGCTCTCCTGGCTATAGCTGTTGACAGGTAAGTGGGATCCCACAACTGCACAGAGATGTAGCCACAGCTTCCGAGGTTCCAAACCGTGTCCTCAAGTGCCGCATCCACGTTTTTTGTGAACTGTTCCCCGGGCAGCATGTTTTGATGCCTGACCACTCTTTCAGTGAAGGGTTTTTTTTCCAATTGTGCAGCAGCCCTAAGAGACTGCCTGCCTTTTACTCCAGGAATTTTAATAATTTAATTTAATTGTATCCCTTCTCAAGACTTTTCTCAGCCTCGTGCACCACAGGCTCTGACAGACCAAGGCACTGAGGATCAGTCTGGTGCTGGCATAAGTCTGGCATGACTGACTCACAGAAAGTCGGAGACCAGCTCTTTACAGAAAGGCCATCATCACAAGACCTCTTTCATGTACAAACACAATACACATCTCTGTAGACCCTTTGCACATACATATGTGATTCCCACCCTTTCTTCCTCTTCTTTCCCCAATTTTTCTCATGTGCCACTTCAAACTTCAGTGTAGCATGGCAGTTTTCAGTCCCTGATGCAAAAATCAGCTCAGGAGCAGTGAGCCCTGCTGAGAGCTGTACAGATACAGCTTATGGCTGATTCAGCTGTTCCTGATGTGAATGGAAGTCTGTGAAGACACTCTGGAGAAGCTCGGAGATGTTTTCACTGGTGTGGGCAAGGGGATGATCAGCTCCTACAAAACAAATCCTTAACAAGCATCTAACAGAATAGGCTTTCACAGCAGCTGAGGACTTGGGATAAACTTCTAAACACTATGTATGCATTACCATTTTCTACCAGTTTTTCAGCTTCTACAAAGTTTTCTTGGAATGCTCTGCCAGTGCATCCCAGGCTGATGAAGTAACGGGTCATGGCGCCCTTATGCCTGTAAAGAAATCAGATTTATAGCATATCTTCCCACATATCTTTAAAAACAAGCCTGATTAACAAGATTAATCACTGAAGTTTGTTATAAGAACACACTGTTTTGATTTCATTGCTTTTCTTTTTTTTTTTTCTTTTTTTTTTTTTTTTTTCTTTGCAAGCTATTGGTTTGGTAAACAGAGAGAAATCCCATTGTTTAACAAGCACATATTCCATGTTAGTTATGCCATGTGGATTGTTGACTTCTGTCTCTAAAAGTTACAGGCTGCTAACAAAAGTCTTCCCATGTTTAGGTCATTTAAAAGGAATCAGCCGTGTAAAGTAAGTCTGTCCCACTGAGGATTTTCTTTAGGGAGGGCTCTCTTTCTTCTTCATCCATGCCTATTCACATGAAAAAATAGGAATTTCACATTTTTAAGGCCACACCTACACTAGAAAAAATACAACATCTGAAGAGGAAGAGCGCATGGTAAGGGTCTAATGTCTGCACTGAAAATATTTAACTGGGTCCGCTGGACCAAACACCCATGGGCATTTGGTGTGTTCTATGTGCACTTTTGGAGCATAATCTTCCAGGATATTTCATCTGAATTCAGTTTGTGAGCTGCAGAACCACTCCACGGTAGCAGCCCAAGAGGGGTAAGCAATGACAATCAGGAAATCCACCACAAAAGCTTCCTCTGGACTCTGCTGGACGGATGGATCCCATCCAGCCAAATATTCTGCTGAGCAGATATGCATACATTATGATATGAGCACATTTAATACATACACATACATTATGCCACGACTTACTTCCCCAGGACCTCATCTAAAAATGTTAACCTTCTGCTCTGAAGTGAGGCTGACCCATTTTGCTGTCCCCTGACATTTTCCCTGCACTGTTAAGAGCCATGAACAATTTATCTGCTTCCAAGAACTGGCTGATGAAAAGTGCTGCTGACTTTCCATTTTACTTTTGAATAAATATAACTTATAGATACTATTCTATGTATTGAATATATACAGATGGAATAGACTCCAAAGGAATGAGAAATTCCACTTTTTGAAACAATACTTTGCGTAAAATATTGTTGTACTGGGATGCCTGATAAAAATCTCCTCCTACAACCTTGCAGCTTTACAGTTCTAAGCAGTGCAAATATCTAACTCAAGTGTCCTGCTTAGCCATATTACTGAATAATGTATATTTAAGATGAATAAGCAATAGTTACCTCCAGAATACACACAAAAAGGGTTTGTGTGGGCAGAAAATAGATACTCATTCTGTTGGTGGCCTAAAATCATGTTCACCTGTAACCATACATTAGCATCACCTTCAGGTCTTTACACCCCACGGAATAACTACAAAAATAAGAAAAACACTGTGATGGGTATTTCACCTCTTTATAAAAAGAGCTATTTAAGTAGCTCTCTGCCTAGGGAAAACATTTTCCTGATTCTACATACTTGTCTTTTCTTCCCTGGGCCTGACTAGATGCATAATACTGCATTTTTCAGACTCTTGCTCCTGTTTCAAAGGAAAAGTTGTGATACAAAAATGTAGCTCAGCTCCAGGCTGCTACTTCACAGCATGTTCTTACAGATGATTATGTCCTTACAGACGAATATGTTCAGGCTCTCCCCTCAGGAATGACAGCAATTTCCTCCTGCCCAATTCTGTTTGCTTGTATTTTGAAGTGTGTTCTGACCAACAGTGTTTTCAGACTTCATTTTGAATATATTTTTCTGTTCTAGGTATTTGGCCATTGTCCACCCACTGAAACCACGCATGAATTATCAAACAGCAACCTTCCTCATTGCCTTGATCTGGGTCATCTCCATACTTGTAGCTATTCCATCTGCATACTTTGCTACTGAAACTGTGTTGTTTATAGTGAAAAACCAGAAGAAATTTTTCTGTGGCCAAATTTGGCCAGTTGACCAGCAGATCTACTATAAGTCATATTTTCTCTTCATCTTTGGCATTGAATTCGTAGCACCTGTGATTACAATGACCTTGTGCTACGCCAGGATCTCTCAGGAGCTTTGGTTTAAAACTGTCCCAGGATTTCAGACAGAACAAATCAGGAAGAGGCTTCAGTGCAGAAGGAAAACTGTCTTGGTGCTAATGTGCATTTTGACTGCCTATGTTCTCTGCTGGGCACCTTTCTATGGCTTCACAATTGTCCGGGACTTTTTCCCCACCCTCTTGGTGAAAGAGAAGCATTATCTTACTGCCTTTTACATAGTCAGGTGCATTGCCATGAGTAACAGCATGATAAACACCATGTGCTTCGTGACCGTGAAAAACAACACCATCAAGTACTTCAAGAAGATCATGCTGCTCAGATGGAGGTCAACGTACAAGGGAAGCAAATCTAGCACAGATTTGGACCTGAGAGCAAGTGCAATGCCAGTCACAGAGGAAGTAGACTGCATAAAACTACAATGAATTTTCTGAGGTTCTAATCTCACCTTTTTTGGAGAGGGGTTAAAGAGGAAATACCACCTTCTCAGAAGTTTCTTCCTTGTCTGTGGGAATACCCACCACTGGTGAGAGCCCTCAAAAAAGCAGCCTACTTTTGCATTCCCACCAGAACTCTTCTCACTGGACTGCTGGATAATCCTTAAGCTTGAACAGATGCTGTGCTTCAGTTCATGCATCTGTCAATTTGGGATGTAGACACTAATTTTATAGCTGTTAAATAAGAACAAAGAAGTTTATGAATGCATTAGAGCATCCTACAATGATGGAAAAGTTGAGTGCTGACCCTAGCAGTGATGCTTGTTTCTTAAGAGAAACTGCTTAACTCCTTTGAGCTTATGACTTGTACCCTCAAGCTATTTGGTGTCCTTTTCTTTCTGCTCAGAAGAGAAAGGATGCCAAAAAAGCCCATTTTGCTTCCTGTCACTCTTTAACCTCTCAGTTTACCCCTCCTCTTGAAGTCTACAGACCACCAGCTTTCTACTGTCATTGGACAATATGCACAGCATGCTCTTCTGAAAGGCACATGCTCTGAAAGCTAAAATCTGCTTCAGTCAAGTGAAAGCCACAAGTTTCCTGTTACACCTTGTTTAAGAATGCTTTATCAATATTCCACTCTTTAGTTTTATGGAGAGTGTTACTCTGTTATGCATTTGGAAATGCCACAGATATATATCATAAGGATCTACTCCCTCACCTCCAGGCACCCTGTGGCCAGCTTCTGCTGCCTTGAGGTGCTGAGCTCCTCACAGAATCAATCACAGAATTGTAGCACTTGTGAATAACATCTCCACATTTCTAGCCCATCTGCACACATTAGCCAGGACTGTGTCCAGCTAGGCTTTGACTGACTCCAGGGAATGCTGGCAGTCTCCCTGGATCACCAGTGTCAGTGTTCAACAGCCCTCACTCAGTGAAAAAGTCTTTTCTTACGCTGAGATGGAGTTTCATGTGTTTTACCTTGCTTGTCAGTGGGATCCATACAAACCTACAGCATGGAGGTGGGAAAAATCCAACCAGGCATCTTACCAAGTGTGCACCTTCACAATAAAGGAGAAGCAACACCAAAATACCAAGGAGATCCTGAGATGATCCATCCATCTTTTTGGAAGCAAGCTTTAGGCTTCAGCCAGCCATCCTCTGGTTGAGTTGAGAAACTTATTGTCTGCTCAGATATGATGCAACAACTTCAGATGAATTCTGCTTTTCCTTCCACAGTGCTTCTTTTACTGTTCTGATTTATTGCAACTCCAGTTTGGATGTTTCATGACTGGCAATTGTGACAAAGCAGGTGACAGTAACAGTAATACCTGCTCATTTCAACTACTCATAAGGTATCATGGACTTCCGTGTGTGGAAATAAAATCTCTTCTTCTGTGATGACAAATGCTTCCTGTTTTAATGTGGTTGTGCTTACTTTTGGAGTAAATGGTTTTGGTAAATAACTTTTGTTTATTTGTGAATTTAAAGTGATCAGCAAATCCTGCAAATAAAACATGGCCTCAGTTTAAACATTCTGAATTATTTTTTGTCCTTTTCTCTTAGCCATCACTTTCTTACCCACCTGAGTAATGTGAATGATCTCATTGCTGCTGAAGAAAAATTGACCAATTAAATTTAAGGGCAAAAAGATTTTCAAATCCATTAAAATGTTCAAAGCCTCCCATCATTAGCTGCTCTTAAATATATGTTGAAGAGTATTTCATCATTTGCTGTTAATGAAAACAAAGACTGAAGTCATCCTTCAAAATGTCAGTTTTGAACAGGGGTAAGTACTAAATCCCTTTGTTTTCCAGCCTGCCACAGAAATTTAAAGGACCAGAGAGTTGAAGTATTTCACTATCAAAAGGTTTAATCTTGTAATCTCCTGAAATCTCATGGTTCCTTCTGAAACCTGCCCTAGTTGTAAGGGATTAGCTAGCATTACTGTTATTAGAGTGTGTGATACTCCTCCCACCTGTTTTCCCTACATGGTTTTGGTGCAACAAAGTCAACTGGCAATTTCCACACTAGGGAAATCCATCTAAGGCTGAGTTAATGAAAAAAAAAAACAACAACTTCAGCCAAGAAATATAGTACTAAACAAAATCTGGTGCAGAGAATTGCTTTAAAACTCTGGGGATCACTCTGAGCTCCAAGAGAGCTTTTGTGGACTGGCACTGTTCTCCTCCCCGTGCCTGCCAAGGGTATTAAAGCAGCATCCTCCACAGCCCCTGCTGAGGGTTTAGGTTTTGGGACTGCTGTGTTTTGACATGTTGAGGTCCTCCAAGCAGCAAAGCAGTGTTGCTGCCTGAACATCTGGATAGAGCAGAAATCATGATTTGCCTTCAACTGCATCTGTTGTGAGCTGCATCCACAGAAAGAGGGGGACTCCCACTGAGGGAGGGAGACAGCTCTGTTCCCTGATCCAAGCAGGCACATCACCTTACCCTGTGTTGGCACCAGCTCCAAACAGCCCAAAACAGGGCACTTTCAGAGGCAGTGTTTGCTCCCAAACTGAGCTCCAGCAAGCAGAGACCTGGGGCTTTGCATGGCGACCAAAAGTCACTTAAAAACTACTGTGAATATTCCTGAAGTGTGCAGGCAGTGGGAACAGGCTGTGACCCCAGTGGCTCCCTCAGGGCAGGGTCTGAGGGACAGGACCAGACCCCACATTCCCCAGGGCTTACATGAGCTGTGCAGGGAAAAGAAAAAAAAGGCTTTTTTGTACCCTCACAATTTACCTAAAGGACAACATTTAGAGAAGGAATTGAATATGGACTGCACCTACTTGGAGCTCTGCTTGTAAAAAGAGAAAGACAAGCATAAGCTGGGAAGGAAGAAGGCAGCACTTGTCTCAGAGGAGAAATTTGTGCCTTTCCAGCACAACTCCTGACTATTGGAAGGCAGGAAAAACTCCTCTGAGCAGGACCTCTGTGGCCACCAGCTGCCTACTGTAAGCTCTAGAACAGCTCCATCATGCAAGAACTGTGGCATGTGTCATGGATCAGGAGTGGGTGAGACCTGAGAGCTTTTGGCAGTGTTTAGACCACCATCCAGTGAATCAACCAGATGTTACCATGTCTCAGTTGTGGCTAGCTCAAATTTTTGCTGCCCAATGCAAAACTGTGGTGCTACCACACCAGATCACTGCTCAGCTGTCCTCCTGCAGCACAGCTCCAAAACCATAGCCTCACTTACTTCTACAGCAGCTCCTCCAGGGATAACTTGAGAGTGAAATCCAGTCTCTGCTCCTTCATGCTGAAAAACATAAACCCAGGTGCATCTGGAAGCTAAAACAGTGACCTGGAAGGGCTAAGAGAGCATAAGGAGAAGAAAAAGCAGCTATTCTCAGCAGCAGGCACTGAGAAAACAAAGGTTGTGTCATTAAATCAATTGTCCCTGTACAAAAGGGGGATGACCTGCAAGATCCCAGGCCAGCATACATCAAAGTAGCCAGTACAGAAAATTTCCCTGGAGACTGACTCATTCAGGAGCTAAGACTTCGCTGTGATCCTTCTTTGAGCCTTTCCTGTGGCAACAGCTCCCTCCAGCTGCTGCCTCTGCAGCTCAGCATCACCACAAACTGCATCAGCTCACATCAAACACCGAGGGAATGGCGTCAAGCAGGTATTCCCAGGCTTCCTATGGCTCCAACAAGTAGCAACAGATGCTTCAGTTTATGACAGCTGGGTACCCAGGCACTTATCCAATGCCTGTAGTGTCTGCATTCCCCCTCTCCCTGTGTTGGCAGGGCTGGGTGCTTGGGCTGTCCCCTGTCTAAATGCTCTGTACCACCTGTGCAGAAAAACACACACCATTGAGCAGAAAAAAGCAGAATTGAGGCAAGATAGACCCTTGTCCCTCAGACTCACAGAGATCTTGCTCTCTCATACTCTCTGTTAGACCCTGTCCTATGGGCTGCCCTGTAACCCACATTGCCAGGGTAAGCCCTAACTTGCACACTCAATTATGTTGGAAATCTGAGGTGCTTGAGTCCAGCCTTTGGCCAAACACCACCATATGGACGAGGCCATGGCACTGAGTGCCAGTCCTTTCTGAAACACTTCCAGATACAGTGACTCCACCACCTCTATTCCAATGAAATTACCCTTTCTGTGAAGGAACGTCCTCCCAATGTCCAACCAGAACCTCCCCTGGTGCAGCTTAAGGCTGTGTCCTCCTGTCCTGTTTCCTGGGAGAAGAGACCAACCCCCAGCTGCTATGACCTCCTTTCAGGTAGCTGTAGAGACTGCCAAAGTCACCCCTGAGCCCCATCTTCTCCAGACCAAACACACCCTCAGCTGCTCCTCAAAACCCTCAGCTGTTCCTCAAAACCACTGGCGAGGCAGGAATTCCTGGAGCTTCAAAAGTGACCTTGTAACACCAGCCAGAACAGAAGAACGTGGAACAAATCCCAGTAGAAAAGTCACCAAATAATCATGGATAGTAAGCAACATCACTGAGCACAAAGTTGCCCAAATTGTAAAGTCATCACCTTCTTCAAAACCAATACCAAGTGACAGAAAACACTAAGATGGTAACACCTCCTGGAAAAAGGCATCCCTGAGATAAAAAGGAACATCAAAACTCTACCTGCTCATCTGCTGATTCCAGAAGAAAAAATGTGGAAGGTAACACATGGAAAGCAATCACAGGAAGCAATAGGATCTGGGTGCACAGCACTCTGAAAGCTCCAGAAGTGACACACTGCTCCAGGATGGCTCTGTAAAGTGCTGCAATGTATGTCAGGCACTATAGAAATAAAGAAAAAAGCCATAGGGTGAAACACCTCTGAAAGGCAGAGCCTCTGAAAAAGCCAAATGGGAAAACACTCCAAAAAACACCAAAAAGTTGTGAAGAACCCCTCCAGGGCCATGTGGTGACACTCTCCAAAAAATACCAGGAGGAGGAGGAAACTGGAAGAGTCAGTAAGCAATATGCAGCCAAGGACGCCTCTGTGAGGCTGTGATTAGCAACTCCAATTAGAGTAAGGCAGCAGTGTGGTGAAGGAATCCAAGAGAATTCAATGTAAGATTCCAAAAAAGAGCTGGGCCTCGTGGCAGAGGGATCCTGAGGCTTGACAAGAAGGTTTGCTGTGGGGCTGCAGGCTAAAGGGCTCCTGAGAGATGGCACCGTGAAGGCTGACAAGGGAAAGAGGCTCCTAAGGGGTGCCAAAGAACTGGCTCCTGCAGGGTATGATGAGCACAAAGCAGTAAAACCCTACAATGCAGAATACAATACACTACTGTACCACCTGCTACAGCAGCTACCCAAGAAACCATGGTATAATGCGGTACATACTCTGCAATGCATTTAAAATATGTAAACTACAATAAACAGGAATGACAGCACAGAACACATCCAGCATTGTAATGAAAGGAATGAGTGGGATATGAGTTACAAACTGTGGGTCTGCTTGCAGACAAAGCCAAATCCTGATAGGTGAAAGAAGCAATGGAAGGAGCCATAAATTCCAGAGGAATCCCACTAATTGACACAGACTGTTGCTCATCCAAGACCGTGCTGAATTCCTGGACTTAGAGAAATAGAAGAGCAATACGAAGGAAAATGGGGGAACAGGGTGGGGAGGTGCACATTAGAAGGGTTTCTGTATTAGGCTATTCAGGAAGTCTGTACCTCTCAAGTACCTCAGCCAAGGGGGAAAGAGGAAAATGAAGCAGGGAAATGAGGGTTAAAAGGAGGCTGCATCCTCCAGCAATTTGAGAGACTTCATGGGAAATGTCCCATGGCCTCTCCCTTTATTTGAATAATGTTGCAGCACTCCCCTGTCTCCTTTTAGGACATAAACCCCTGGCATTGTGGATTAATTTTCCTAACAATAAAATACAGTAAATACCACATGGTTCAGTACACACTGTAACGCACAACACACTTTTCAGCCTTTGAAGAAACCTGCAATTCATGCTAGGCCCTCTGTGGCCAACATACAAGGTTGCCCCTTCAAATGACCTGGAGAGCTCCTGTTTTACTCAGAATCTGCATCTGTCCTCCTCTGGTCACTCTCACTTCACCCTCCCTGTGTGCCCAAAAAACAGGAGACACACAGGCAGCACAAATCCCATGGCAGCTTTTCCCCTGTGCCACCACAAGGCATGGCACTGTACCTAAGACAGCAATCCCTCCACCCTACTGAGTGAATGCACCTCGTAGGAATGCCCTCCCTTTTGGCACAGGGGACCTGAAAGAAACCAATCTGACTTTTCTTTATGTCTCAACATATGTTATATACAGGTTGAAAAATTACTATAGGGGCTGCTAGACATGCTGGGAGCCTTAACAGGGAGGCAGAAAATGGAGGTGTCAGGTGAATTAATCCACAATGTCAGAAATGGAAGGATGCCCCTGTGTCCTGGCATTAATGCTGTCCCTGTCTTCTGTTTCTCCCTCTGTCTCTCCTTCTCCCTCTCTGCTCTCTTTTCTATCCCCCTCTAGCTGGGTTTATATCCTTTTTTTAGCACGAAACAGTTCTCAGATATAATATTGCCACACTAGTGCTTCGTTTTTATCAGAGAAATCCCTCCAAGAGAATGCTTCCCCTTTCAGCAGAAGAACCAAGATGACCCTCCAAGAATGGAAGTTTCCAAGTGCCAAGGTTGTGTAATGAGGCTTAGTAAAACCTTTTAACTTGCTTTCCAGGAAATTCATGGGAGTGATGAACACACTGAAGGCAAGATCTTCCAACAACGTCTTCAGAAATCAGAGACACAGTTACATGCTTTTCCCACTGTATGTTACAAGTTTAATTGTGCAAAAATACAGTCATCAAGACTTTGCTGAGAATTGGACACAGTTCCAGTGATGTACACAGAAGAAGAACTGTTGTAATTAAAGCAAATAACACTTGTTGAGCCAATCAAGTGGTTCAATACACTGAGATCCTGTTCTCAAGTGATTTAGACAACCTGTATTTAACTACTGTACCTCATGAGAACCAACAAAACAACATCTGGGAAAGATGGAAGCAGAATAAAGAAGTTTAAAACTGCACTAACTCAACAATAAAAATGGCTTAGGCTTTCCTACCAGTATTTTTTTCAAGCACAGGAAGATGAAGTTTTAACAACCTTTAAAATTGTATTTCAAAATATGAGATACCAATGGTGTTGCAAAAAAAAAAAAAAATAAAAGAAAGAAAAAAAAAAAAAAAAAAAAAGAAAGAAAAAAAAAAGGGAAAAAAATAAACCCACAAAAGTTTTCAGAGCTCTCTCCTCTTGGTCCATGTGGGTCCATGACTTAATAAAACAAACACCACACCAGCCCCAAAATAATACACATGGATAAGTCTTTGCAGAATCTCCTCACCCTCATTATTATCTTCCTGTAGCCTACATCATGGAGAAAAAAATTTTCAAACAACTCCTCTCCTTTGTGCAACCATGTTTTAACACAACTACACTGGACATTTGTTAGGCTGTTCTCAGCAGCTATTTTTTGATCCTAACAAATCTCGATGTTTCTTGTACAAGTTTGTCAACATCTTAGTCATCCTTTTCTTCTGAACTTGGTTCCCAATCTGAGTCTTCATCAGTAGGTTCACACTCCTCCTCCTCCTCATCGTCTATAAAGCTGTCATTGAGGTCATATTCATTGGCTTCACCATCATTGATACTGTCCTTCTTCACAGCCCTTCTTCCTGTAGGGACAAAAATGTCATGCATTCATGACTAATAAATGTAGAGCTCAAGATGCCTCCCAGAGCCCACAGAGTAAAAACGTTTCTCCTCAAAAGAAAGAATCACCTAAACATCTATCTTCCAGTTAAGCCTATTGCTAAATGGCTACTCTGACCCTGAATTTTCTGCCTCCATCCATCCATCCATCCATCCATCCATCCATCCATCCATCCATCCATCCATCCTTTATATTCTTGGTCTTTGGAAGCTAATAGCTTCACATGAGAAGGAAATCTTCTACATCACTCACTTCCTATGTTCTCCACTTGTCTTCATGCTGGATAGCTTGTGTTTCCCTTCTGAAAGTCACTTCCTTCAGAAATGCATTTTGGCAGATGTGTTTCAGCCTTGCTCTCAACATCTGTGACACCTCTTTTCTTAAATGTCCAAAATTCCTAACTAGCTATGGCCTGTTAATATTCCAATCATATCTCATTTATCCTTAAGTCACACATCTGAGTAAAATCATGTTCATTCCTCTGCCTCCCACCCTCTCAGTTTTGCATTCTTACCTCACCTAGAAATAACCATGCAGTGGTATCAGTCTAGCTAAGTTATCTGTTGAGCAGTTGTCACCAGCTTTCATATGAAACTATAAATATATATTTCTTTTCTTTAGCTACAGACCACAGCCCAAACCCTAACTCTTTACATTAACCATAAACAATTCTCAGCAAACTCTTTAAACCTCAGGTCAGAGCTCTAGGCACAAACACCACCACCAGTACCTCATGTAGCCAGACTACAGCCTCCTTCAGTCACACTTTTCTGTGAGTGAGAATGCTCCTGTTGCAGAATTACCTGCCTTTTTATGCTTGCTGGCTTATTGTTGAACAGACTTCAGAGGAAATTAATCATGCCATAATTGGGAAGGCATGTTCATTTCAGGATGTTTCCTCCCAGTTTGTCTCAAACCAAGACACATAACCAGCAGAATTTCTTAGTGGAATCACAGACTATAGTGATCAATCATGCAGAATTAATTATGTCTCAGAAAGGAAGGGTCAAAAATGAAGATGCTGAATAAAGTAAGAACAAAATCTCCCTTCTCAGACTGAAGTTATGTTTGTTTTCTTGTCTGCTTCTAGGAAAATACAGGTATTATCATACAGATTACCCAAGAATACAGGCACAAATGCAGCTGAGAGAAAACTCGTAAGAAAACAAGAAGGATTTTACTAAAATAATGACTACTTTATGCTCATTATCAAGCATCTCCAGCACTATTAAATGCAAAAAGAGCCACAGCAGACCAGCTGTGTCCCAGTCTGATGTGTTCACTTATAATAATGGAATACTCACCATTGCTTGGAGCTGGTTGTCGTGTTCCTCTTCCAGTTACTAAAGAAAGGGAAGCTGTCAGTCAGGACAGAGGGAACCCTGCCATAAGGGTTATTCTTAGAGCTGCTACAACAGGAAACTCACCTATTAAACAAATGCTGAAATGGTTGTGCTGTACTTACAGCTATAAAAGCTACTCTGATGCCCCAAAACTACTGTCTTTGTCTTGAATCATTCCCAAGAGATTACCCAGATCAATTGTTCTTTAAAATTATTACCCCTGCCATCTGTAGACAAATGTCATCAATTCTGACTGGGGTATTTTAAGCAGGAAATTGGAATATTTTAGGGCATTTAAATATTTTACACTACTGTTTCTATAAATGCTGTTCTTTCTTAATAATGTCACAGCCCTGAATCTTCAAAGTAAAATGTATTATCATGACATTTTCATAAGTGTTCTCCTCTAAACTACTGTTTATTCCATTGGGATTTCATGTGGAAAAACTCCAATCCAATAATCAAGAGAAAGCACCCCAAAAAAATAAAACCAAGAAGTATCTCTTTCAATTCTTTAAGAGCAGAAAAATGTAAACAGCACATTCCCCTGTGGGTTTTTTACCAAATCAAGTTACTGGAATACAAAAAGACTACAAAGTGTTAGATTAGGAAGTCAAATTCAGTTTTACTTATATTTCCTCCAGGCCTCAAGAGAACATATATGCAAAAATTAGCTCTCACTCTAAGAAAATCACTGGTAAAAACAACCCAACACAAAAAAATGACAGCTATGGTTGCAGTATTTTGTTTAGAGCACCAGAATACCCTAAAATTTTATCTTCTCTGAGAATTTCTTAGTAAAAAAATATCCCAGAAAAAAAATAATCCTATTACAGAGGGAGCTATAAATGGAATTTTATTTCCTACAGGGAGATTAAAGCGTTTTATTGAGATGGACTTGATGGTCCTTATGGGTCCCTTCCAATTCAGAATTTTCTGTGATTCTGTAATATTAAACAAACTGGCCCACCTGGAGGTGCACTGTGCTTGTATTCCACCTTGTGTTGGGGGTTCTTCCTGCAAAGAAGAAAACAGTAAAAGCTTGACTCCATCACCTTGTTCCACATTTAAAAAGTGCAGAATTCCCTTGTTTTTTTATGGATCATTTTCAAGGCACAGCATTTAAATCAGTCAATTAACAGCCAACAGATAAGGACAAGAAAATTAACATGAAACCCCTTCAAATTATATATGCTGCTTCATCAGAAGAATAATCCATTTTTCATGGGTGCCTCCTTTTCTCTATCCTCAAAGAATGAAGCACAGATTAAGAAATTACCAACTAATGCAACACAGAGGTTGTCTTGTCTAGAAGGAGAGCCAGTTTGGGGTTTAGATAAAGCATCACTGTACTCCTGAGAAGCATGTTGGCAATTTCATTGCTGATATAAATCTGTATCACTCAGCCTGAGATGGAAAATTCATCTCATAGGTGTTTTTAAGCTAACCACTTTTTCTGCATTAGCTGAGTATCACCAAGGCTTTTTCCTAAGAGCTGTCCTCATTCTGCTAAATTTCATGGAGACCACAATAAATGTTTCTGTGCAGAAACAATCTTTAACAGCAGCCACCAGTTTCAATATGCTCCCACAGGAATGCTATTGCCTCAAAATATATCTTTCTGTGCATTGTGGTAATTATGCAGCCTGCTAAATATGTAAAACCTAGATACTGAAAAACAAATGTAATACAACAATATTTTGAAGAAAATCAACAGCACTTAAAAGAAACAGCAGTCAGACATAAACTGGATTTTATTGCTGTTACCTCAATTATGCTTTGTAACAAATCAAGTACTGATTAAAATAGTTTGTTTACAAAACCACAAAAAATACATTACCAAAATTTAAACCAAAAGTTACAGATCAAGAACAACATGTAACAATAAATTGCTTATATCAAAGAACAATTTACTGAATGTTGAAAAGAGATACAGTGTTGATCTCCAGGTCACTGAATAGGCTCTTTGAACAGTCAAGTTTTCATCTCTGACAGCTGACATCATTACCAAAATAGTAATTTTTACTGTGTCAATGTTAAAAATATGCACAGACTTGGATGCTTTAATGGTAAGCTGTAAATTCTGGAAGGCTACAGCCAAAGTAAACATCAATAATTAGTCATTAATCTAAACAAAAAGAGCCTGTAACTCACCTATAGCAAGTGATTTCTCACCTGTAACAAGCTGTTCCATAGGGACACTCAGGCCGGCTGTCATTGTCACCCTGAGCCACCACCTCCATGTTGTGATAGTCATCATCATCAGGGTGACTGAACTGCTGGAAGTGAACGGGATTCTTCCTGCAAAAAGACAAACACACACTGAAACTGACCCATTTCAAAGCAGGAGAGGACATATAAAACGTGTTACCGCATCACTGACAGCTCATTTTTCTATGGTTGCATGAAGAGGAGATTTTAATGTTTAATTTGATGCAGAATCTATGACCTACTTTCAGGATAACAGAAGAAATTTTGTCTTGGCACCTGCTGCAACAGAGGTTAAACCAGGAATTTTCCTATTTCCCATCAGCTTTAAGTTTCAGACTTCCAACACACACAGAGAAGGCTTTACCTGAATTACAAAAATTAACATGCTGACATGAAGTTGTACCATAAGACCTTAGATCATCATCCACAGCTTCTTGCTCTACAACACTTGAATCCGAGCTGAACAAGTAGGGAACACAAATTTATGCATCACTGCAAGAACATTTCTACCATTTCTAGGCAAGAACTTTGTACACACACCACTCAAGACTAGGCAGTCATAAACATCACTTAAAGAAGAGTTGTCTTCTTTCTAGAACTGTTGTAAGTGGAGTTTAAAAGAACACAGAAAATCAAATTCCCACTTCAGAGAAATTCATGTGACAGATCCAAACAGGATAAAAAAATTACATCAAAATTAACATACTAGTAGCAAAAGCAAATCTACTTTTTCCCTATAATTTCTTGTAGACTTCTTTTTCCGAGCGTAATACTGAGAAGCAAGAAATGTGAGATTTTAAAATAAATTATTTTCCACAAGACACCTGCAAAATACTTGACTGATTACCTCAATCACTCCCAGAGTACATAACCTTTAGTGTGTTTGTGCAAATGATAGAAGTGAGCTGCCTGCCTCAAAGCAGGAGGAATAACAACTTCCAGCTACAGAGCAGTTACTGCTTTAGCTCAGACTTGCTACAGCTGCATTTAGAAGCAGCTATGGAACACACCAAGGACGTGTGCAGACACCTCCATACACAGAAACTTCCTCACTGATCAGAGAAACTCCTGTAGACTCACAGGTACCTACCTCTTCTGAACTTCACAGAGGAGAGCCAATATTCATTTTAGAATTTCAACTACCACTATAATAAAAGAGCATTTGCTACAGCTTTTATAAAAGGATGACTTAAACATCGTGAGCTCTGCTGGCCATTCAGACCTCCTTTTAGCATTTATACCAGATATTTAGTATTAATTCTTTAAATCTTCATTTGCCAGGTATCTTTCACTCAGGAAACTCCACAAGCAAGCTACAGATAAACTCTTCTACAAGCCACTTACCAAAGATCCCTTGGATCTACTTACATAGGTGATAGGCTCTTGTCCTGTTTTTTTGTTGCTTCTACAAACTGTAGGATAATTGAATAATGTTTCACCAGAAACTATTGCAGGGTTCCCATCTTTTATTCCATAACAAATTCTCATGAAGCATCACTTCTTGTGACAAATTCAGACTGGCTGCCTACTTCTTTCCCCATTAAAAATAAATGGGATGAAATTAAATAATTTAGAGGCCATTTGCCACTTTGTTTTCTTCATGCACAGAACTAACATACTTGCAGTAACAGCAAGAATTCTCAGTCACGTGAAGTAAAATTTATCTTCTGAAAGGGACACAGCAGCAACTGATGTTCTTTGAAATAATTTTAATCCTTATTCCTACATCAAGATACATACAGCATCCTAGCTGCCAAGGAAAGGAGGACTAATAGTTGTCAATTAGCAGTTTTATTGTATTTCAGGAGATATCTGTTTCCTTTTAAAACGTTGATTCAAGACCTACTTGGACAACACCAAACGGCCACTCTTGAAGGAGAAGGGGAAAAAAGAAACAGGGGAGAAAGAAGGAAGAGCAATGAAAGAGCTGTGATGTACAAGTCCTTGTCACTAGGCTTCAGGAGTCTTTTGGCCAGTAGATGATGCTCCTCAAATTATACATTACCTGTGGAGCACCTCAAACATGTTCTATCTCCTGAACATGTTCTACCTCAGATGCTCAGTAGAAACATCCTATTTTATCTTAGCTTTACCTGGCTAATTTATATTCTATGTGTAGTGCAACAATGCCCCATGAAATACAAGGAAGCAGAGAAGTGCATAGCTAATAAGTAAATATCTTCCCTTTTCTCAGAAAAACCCCAAGGCTTCTTCCTTAAAGGTTTTGTTTGGGGTTTTTTAATATTTATTTATAGATATAAGATATTTGAGTTACAGGAACACATCTATCACATTATAAGTTGCACTCCAAAGTTAATTGTTTCACAACAAAGCCTCAGTGCACAGGTATATGCTAATTCATTTGACCAAAACAAAATCATTAGGCTTTACTTGCATGAAAAGTAACCAATTAAAAGCCTATTTTAATAAGGAAGTTTTATGACTGTCGCGTTCTTATAAACATACTGACATAGTTAGTGCAGCCTTGCTTTCACAGAAGCTCTAAATTTGTGTACTCAGCACTTCATGATGCAGGAAACTATGTGAACTAAAATATGCAAATAAAACTAAAACTTCCTCAGAATCAATGCTCTCATCCTCAAGCAGAACTTGAGTATTGCTCAGTGAAATATTTCAGACAGTTATTCATCTGTACAGCTAGAGCAAAAGCAACTTTAAAAACTTTTTATAAAGCAAATTTAACTGACCAGTTCAGAATCCCTGGCTCCTCACAATCCCATGCAGAAGAACCCTTGCCACCTCACGGGCTTATTTCTTCAGCTATGAAAAATCTCCTAGTGAAAATGTAATGAAGTACCAACACTGCTTATAAAGCCACAGAATTCAAGACTGAAGTTATGCCATGACTGCACATAACATGTTTTTAAGTTCTATATTTTAATTCTTAATTAAAATACAGGAGACAGGACTAAAAAAAAAAAAAAAAAAAAAAAAAAAAAAAAAAAAAAGGACAGATGCAGGTCTCTAGCTGCCTGATTTACAAGCTTAGAGTGAATTATTAAAAAAAAAAAAAAAACAGCAAAGTATTTAGAAGAACCCATAAACAAATCCAAACATTGGTTGAGCATCCCCTCCTCTGAGAGTTCTGGGAGAGATTTACACACCCCCAGTCAGCAGAGAACTGCACTCCAGGCTATGGCAAAAGGACTGAATTGTGGAAAAAAGATTGTGAGCTCCAGTTTCAGAGATGAGACTTCAGGTCTACTATACCCCTTCTATGGTGGCCCTTAAAAAGGGTCGTGGGGGTAGATTTATTTTAATTCCCTATTCTGCTAACTTCAGAAAAGCAAGCAGCAGACAAAGACATGTGACAACAATCAGAGGGAAAGTTCCTCAACAATAAAAAAAGGCAGCTACAAATACACAGAGCACTTTGTCTCCTAATGATAACAGCAGCTCCTCTGAATTTGGCCACCTCAGAAAGTGACACTGGACAAAGGTGACAAGAAGGGTCCTTGGGGCAAGAGGTGTGCATCAAGTTTAACTCTTTCAAAAGCAGTGTTTTCAAATTCATAAATGAAGAAACTGGACTATGGGTTACAAATTTACTTGCTAAATGTTTGCGACAGGCTAATAGAAATGTAGTCAAATAACTAGAACTAACATTTAATCTTTGCTCTAACACACTTTTGCCACCATGCAGGAACAACTACTTAGGGGCCTTGAACTAAAAGCAAATACAAAGACAGATTACAAAGCATGTTTCTTTTGCTGCAAGCAAACAAGTTGAGTTTCATAATATTTCCTGATGATCAAAGCTCATTTTTGATTCTCCCTATTTACAAATTTCTCTGACAAAGTAAGACTGCTATTTGTTATTTCAGAAGCAATACTTCCAATACTTTCCAAAAGTATTGCTGCCAAGTGTTTCACAATCAAGAGACCCAGGAAGAAATGTGCACATACAGACTCCTACTCCCTATGACAAGTACCTAAGATTTGCCTTCTTAAAGAAAAGGAATATTTCTTCATAGCAGAGCATTAAATCTCCTAAATACCCACACAGGGCAAAACCTGTCTCAGCAAAATTCAAAGTAGCTGAGCAAACCAGAGGCTGCATTTGCACTACTGGATCAACAGAACTCTCTAATAAGACATGCTTTTGTCGTAATCATGACAAAACATGAACGCAGCAGCTTTACAATTTTGATATTCACAGTTATCTCAGCATCAGGCCCACCAAACATACAAGAAGCCAGTCACTTGTGCTTGTTTGGTTCCTAATCAAGCTCACTGCTTTTATTATTGCTGAAGCCCCTTGGGGGAAGATTTAAAAAGTCACAGGATCTGCTGTTTCCTGGATTAGCCTTGTCTTTTGTATTTATGAAGTACATGGGATTATCTAGAGCTCAAAATCTTCTCCTAATTTTAGTTTACAGGTTACTGGGCATTTTCAAGAGCATCTCTAAATTTCAACCTTCCCTTCAATGTAACACCCCAGGACACCACAGATCTTTTCTGGGCAGAAAGAACCAGCAGGAGGCCAGGCACCCAGCAGTGGTATTTTGGAATTTCTCTGAAATATCTGTATGACAAATCTTCTACCATTCCATCTTGACAGGATATGAGTGGGTGAAAAAGAAGAGAAAAAACCCCTGTTATTCCTCACTTGCAGTATTTCCAAAGACTGTCCAGATAAGGGTTACCTTTGAGTTCTAAGTATGCTTTGTTCTGGTTTTAGGGGTGCCTGAAAACTTTAAAGAAATTGCAGAAACACTAAGTTATAATAATATAAATTCTTGATTATTTATGGATGACAAATAATAAGTATTTTAAACATTCAGATCACAAAGTGGGCAGTTACTTCAATAAGCACAATTTTCTTTCATATAAGTCTCATCTGCTAAAAAAAACAAACCTACAGGGTCTGTGTTGGGCATTTGAACCTTTTACATCTCTTCTCCCTGCTAGTACCTCATACCTTACACACAGGTCTTTTATTTCTTTCCCTTTTATAATGAACTTTTATCTTCTATTTTCTGCAACACTTCATCTTTTAGTTTGCTTAAGTACTTCATCCCTTGTTTGGGTTGTATCAGGAGTTAGCAAAACGTCCCAGCTCCTCCTTTTATCCCTCCAAAGTTAGTGTTCTGCCATTTGTTTCTCATCAGACCCCTGCTCAACAAAAGGTTTTTTTTCCAAATCAAAGCTTATAGCAACTTTACAATTTTCTCTTCCATAGCTAATACATTATTTCTGAATAACAAGCTAGACCAAGCTAGTTTTAATTTTGCTTTACCTGTAACAGCTACTTCCATACTTGCAAGGTATCCTCTTATGCTGCATCTTTTTGGAGCTTTCGGAAGCATCTGCACTTCTGGCTGAATCAGAAATCTCAGTGCTGCAGTCCAGATTTGCATCAGGCTCAAGAATGCCTTCCTGGGCACCAAGATATTGGCAAGTCCTGCCCCAGGGAGCCTGTTGGCTTGTAGAACCAGTAATGTGCTCTTTGGTTTCTGTTTCCTCAATTCTGTTGTCTTTATTGGAGTTCTGACCTACTCTTTTAGTCCATTTGCTGTGCAGCTGCCTAGCATTTTTTTCCAGAGAACTTCCAGGGTTCTTTGTTCCAGTCTTGCCACTTCCTTCCATATCTCTCATGACAGTCTCAAGAGGAAATCCGGATGTATTCTGTGGAATAAGGTTACATTTTGAAGAACCTGAAAATGTACACTCCTCAGAATTAAAAGTTTTGAAGTAAAACTGCCTCATCATCTCTGCTTTCAAAATCAGTCACAGAACAGCCTGAGTTAGAAAGGACCTTGAAAGATCATCTGGCCTAGATTTTAAAAACCTTCTACTGCACCTCCCAAACTCAAGTTCAGTGCTCAACACAGCTGCTGAATGAAAACCTCAAGTTCAGAAAACAGAGAAAAACTTATCTTCAAGGAAAAACTTAAAGAAAAACTCATCTAACAGCTTCCTTCCTCAGTTTCAGTTCCCTCACACGACCTCTTCTCTCATCACCTCAGTTTGTGAACAGTCCAAGAACTAGTTTAAATTAACTTACAATTTAAAGTACTGCTCCTGAAAAATTAATGGAGATTATACAGGTGAAGATGTAGTAGACTGTAGAAGAGTGTAGACTCCTACCCATGAATCAATTTAAATTATTAAGGAATCGCTTACTAATTTAATGAGTTTCTTAATAATTTAAGCACCAAGATACATGGAGTATATATATATTTATCTATACAGAAGATATATGGGAAGTCAGGATACATATCCTGAGGTTAATCTCACACTGATACATCTTAAATGCTTCAGCTCACAACTCTAAATCACAACAGTCTGTCATAGACACCATTAAGCAAATATTTCAGTTTTGACACAAACGGCATTTTAAATTTTGGAAAAAAAACTGTACATTTAAAATAAGAAATGTGTACTTTAGAAAAAAAATATGAAACACACAGCTGAGGAAAAAACTGTCCTGACAATTGAGACATTACCTGAAAGCATATTACATTCAAGGCTAAACTACTTTGATATATCATAGGGCTATTCAAAGGTCTGTGCTTTCTAAAGATTATCTATGTTTCCCCTCCAGTTAATTTATACTTAGTTTACACAGGTGTGTTTTGCAGAGCTTGAAAATCAGCCAGTGATTTCCTGTTTTTGTTCCTTTCCAAGCAAGTCTCATAAAATTTTATCCAAAACCAATTACATTTGAGCAGCAACTTGATTAAGGAAGGGCAAAGTCAGCATTAACATCAGATGATCCTGACAGAAGCATATTTAGTGACTCCAAGACAACTCCCAAAATACAGCTCATCAATCAACTGCAATTTAAGAAATAAACCCTTCCTCTGCAAAAGAAAACATAAATTACTGTTATTTGCCACTGCCACTTGTGAGTTCTCTTCCACCACTGCCTTTGTGTACATAAGGACACAGAAGGCTCACACTGATGCTTGGTTACACACCAGGCTGTGATCCAGGGAAACTCAGCACTCGGACAGCTTCTGGTGGCTGCTGCCAACCACAACAATTCAAATTTTTTTGCCTTCTTCCCTACAGAACATTTTTTCCATTGCCTTAAACACAACAGCAAGACCATGATTTAGGCTCTGATATCCAAATTACAGTCTTTCAGAGCTCTCTATGGTTACTACTCTTGCTTGCCCTAATACATCAGTTTCTCTGCAAAGTCCAGAAATCAATTTCTTGAACTGTAATTGAGATTAAAATGATTTATGAGATTATTAGGTGAAAATAAGTAAGATTTCCTACTTACAGATTGCAAAATTGAATAATTCATTATGTAGTCACTCAATTTATAACCTGGCAAAGAGAAAACAGCTCAGCAGCTGTCATTAATGGACCTAGTGGACCACTGTTATACCAAACTATTACTACTACTTGTTCTCCATGCACAGTTTGTTTCAATTAACCTTAAAGCCAAAATTCTGCCCTGAGCCAAAAAGTTACCTGAGATGAGTGAACAGGGATGGAAAGGCAGCTCCTTTTCCCTTGATCTTGCTCTCCATCTTCAAGGTCCTCTATAGTTTCTTCAGAAGCCAATCTTTTTTTCTTCTGTACATGTACTTCTGAGTTGAATGACTCTGTATGACCTTCTCCCCTTCCTTGCCCTTTTTTCTTCCTGCTACCTTAAAAAAAAAGAAAAAGGGTACTTTTGGAATGCAACTTTTTAGTGAAATCCTGACACTAGAAATTATTAAAGCAGAACATTGGGCACATGGCATGAGAAACAGCAGCAGTTGTGAGAAAGGCTTTTTAAACAATTCCAATGTTTGCATGCATCCCAAGTTCCCTCAAGTCAGCCTTCAGATACATCTCCCCCACACAGCTCCTAATCTCAACACCAACACAACCAAAACATTCAGTCTTTGAAATAAACATTATATTCACACATATAACAAACGTTATAGACTGGCAGAGAAACAAACAAATGGACAAACAAATCCCAACTCTCCCAAAAATACAAAACAAAAGCACAAACATAAGAAAACTATCACACCAGTACAGCACTCAACACCATGCAATTTTTATATAAATATGGCAGAAGGGAAAAGTCTAGATAGGATGAAAGAAAAAAATACTGAAACACAGTTTTTCTTTGTCATCTTATATTTTTTTCCAAACTAGCTTTAGATGAAAAGAATAGGCAGTGTGGTGGAGGACACAGACTGAGGTGTTTAAAGACACAGCTGCCCTCATCAGTGCACACAGACACCTGTATTTACAACAGGAGGGAAGAAGCAGCTGGCCAGACACTGCATAGCACACTCCTGGGGGCCTGCTTGGATATTAAGATCCAAATGCATAAAAGCAGAAACAGGAAAACCAGTTTTTAAACTCTGGAAAGAGTCACTAGAGTAGAGATGCTGCACAGAGGGGAGCAGACACACACTCACTAGCCACAGTTCTTGCACTTGGACTGATCAGCAAAGACACTGAAGTTTGGACTAAGTAACCAAGTTTTATTCAGCAATGATTAAAAAACTAACATGCAACACCACCCAAACCCTTCTGCCTGTAAAACCTGTGAAATTAAGAATCTAAATTTAGAAAAGCAAAACATCAGTGTGGAGAAGGCTAGGAATTAAAGAGACAGAAACTACTTAGAATTTACATACAAAATAGTCAAGTTTGTAGGAAAGGGCTCCTGAACATCCAATGCTCAGCTGTACAAACAGAGTTTATTATCTGGCATTAAAAACAAAAAGAACAGAATGAAAATTAAGTGATGAAAAAAGAGCTCTACAACACCCGTAGGACTGATGACAAAGGAGACAACAGAAGTCAGACTTTGTCAGCTGCCCCACATAGAGCATGGAAAGAGAAGTAGCAAATTATACTTCCTATCACCATCATTATAATTGTAAAAATTGTATCAAAGCACAGAAATGCACACTGGAATGCAATCATTGTCCCACTACAAACCTACCTCCTGTCAGAACAGGCTTGGAAACCCTCTGCACCAGAAGATCTCTTTCCAACATCCAGGATGGAAGCACTCTCTTTCTTTGAATAGATTTTGACTGTTTGCTTTCATTATCGTCAGACAGAGGAACCTGAAAGAACATTTACTGTTTAGTGCCTTTATCCAGTTACAGAAGAGTGGGGGGAAGCCAGACCACAGTTTGCACTCAGTTATGTCCTCCAAAAGCAGCCTGGGTAACAACCTACTTTTTGTATGGTGGCCATTGCTCAAGTATTTTACTTTTTTTTTGCAGTTTCCATCCACTCAGAAAAACAACATTTATAGGAAACTTTGTGCAGTAAAAACAAAAGAAAATAAAACAGAATATTCTTAGATATTTGGAATAAATATCTAAAAGGCTACAAACTGAAGGATTCATAGAAGAGCTTTACCACCACCTTGCTCTAGTTTCCCTACATATATAAAACAGAAAGAGCAAGTTTAACAAAAGCCTATTTGTCCAAGAAAAAAAAAGGCAAAAACCTGCAAACATAAAAGTCTTTTTTGCATTGCTACAATTTATTTCTCCAGAAAGTAATCAGATTCTAAATCTCTGAGTCACATTCATTATTTACTGAAAACAACACTATCCTTTTGGATTTCCTGAGCCAGTCCACCCCCAGGATCGCAACCACAACAAAGGCTGACATTTCATTTGTATAGAGAACATAACACCTCCTTAACTTCCAACACATGCTTACAAATATTAAACTTCATTAAAAACTTAAACACCCACCAAAAATCTGGAGGCAGCATCATTATTCCTCATTTTTGCGGCTCCCTCTACCTCAGAGCTGGAACATGCTGGTTCCATTAACAATGGAATACAGGACATCTCAACAGCATGAACAGTTGGTGCTTCTGCATCAGCCTCCTGATTTTTTTCTGACAAAACAAAAAACGATTTTATCTACTCACACGCTGCAAATATAAACATGCACTTTTGACTCAAACACAAAAGTTGGTCTGAATGTTTGCCATTAACAAATGCAGTTTGAAACTGACCATCAACATCCTCTTAGCATCAGCTTAGAGAGGAAATAAATGCACCTTCCTTTTACCTCACACCTAAAGTTTTGACCAAAAGACTCTCTAATAACTGCCGACCACGACTGTGGTGTTTTGGGGTTTAAGTACATAATTTACACTGGTTGCTGCCATGACAAAACTTTGAGAAAGCTGAAACTGCATCTCAGAATTTGCTTTATGGTAAATCTTCACAACTCCCCAAAATCTGATCCTATCCTAAAAGTCAGGCAACGATTTTAGGATTTCAGGACCAGATGCCCAATGAATCAAGCAAGTTCTCCATACAGGCTATCGCGGAGACACTAGATACACCGGTGCTAGTCTCAAAAGCCTCAGTTCAGAGCCACTACGTCTAAAAAGCTTTTTAGGTTATGAAAGCACACCCAAACTGTAACTGTTTTTCTTTTAACACGTTGCCCTTACACTACTCAATGCACCAGCACAAAAGATCAGGGGAAAACGAGTCTAATTGGTGCAGTATTGCCTGCAGAGAAGCACTGGGGTGTCTCTGCCAACCTGCTGAAGACCACCCTAGGTCACGGGGTGGCTTTGTGTGGTGAAAAAATCTTCTCCTCCAACCCGTGCTTCCAAAGAAAGGCTCAGCAGTTTCTTGTTGTTTGGTCTCATGGTAGTTTATTGCAAGTTATCTAAAAGATTTTCTCCTTGGGCTGCTGTGGTTTGCTCACAGCTCAGGCAGAGGCACACACACACCCTGACATCCTCTCTGACTCCCGACTGCTTCTTCTCTCCCCACCCAGGGCTGCTGCTGTCTTTTATATGGTACATTACGTGTTACATGGTTACAGTTTTTCCCAATGCCTATTACCTATATTAAATGGTGATTTTCTATCTTTTATATGGTACATTACATGTTACATGTTCACAGTTTTCCCCAATGCCTATTACCTATATTAAATGGTGATTTTCTACTCTAAATCAATCTGTGAGTGTCAGCATCACCAAGAACATGGAGGTAAGGAAGAAGAAAGAGGGAGGACAGGGCAGGCCCAAATCCCAAATCCATCTTAAAATCTCTGACCCCCATGTACAAAACAGAAACCCCCCTGTATAGCACGCAAAAATTCTTCCCTCTACTTTGTAACTACTTCTACTATAAAATCTAAACTTTTGTGACTTCTTGTTCTTCCTGCCAGGCTGGTAAACTGTTCCACAGCTCAAACCCAAAATCACAGCTGTTTGCAGCTGCCTGCCAGGGTCTCAAATGCTTCTGACCTGGTCCTGGAACCTCCTGAAATGTCTGAGGGACATTTTGAGTTCTGACACCAACCCTTCCAGAACTTGCTGTACTGCAGAGAGCACACCCTGACCAGCTGAACTTTCTCTTTGTCACCCTGAGAAGAGAAGCACCAAAGGCTGAGCTCTGCCTTATTCCTCCAGCTCTGCAGGGTCTCACAAAGCTCCAGGATGGGCGAGGTTCAGCAGAACCACAGCGGGACATCCAGCCCCAGCTCCCTGCTCAAGAAGGGTAATCCCAGAACACATGGCACGGGATGGCATCCAGATGGTTCTGGAGTATCCCACTGAGAGATATTCCCACTCCTCAGCCTCTCTGGGCAATCTGTTCCACGTGCAGCCACTGCACAGTAAAGAAGTTCTTCCTTATAGCCAGGTGGAACTTCTGTGCATCAGTATCTGCCCACTGCCTCCTGTCCCATAGTTCTGCACCGGTGGGCACAGCCCGGTCCATTCTTTTGGCACTTTTAGACACTTATACTGATGAATGAGGTCCACTCTCAGCTGTCTCTTTCCGAAGCTGATCAGGCCCAGCTCCCCCAGCCTTTCCTCCCACGAGAGATGCTCCACTCCCAAACATCCCCGCTGCTGGAGCCGAGCTCTCCCTGCCCCTTCCACCCGCGCCGGAGCCGCCTCGGGGCTCCAGCGGTGCCCTCGGAACCCCTGAGCGGGGCCGGGCCGGCCTCACCTCCAGGCTGCCGGAGCCGCCGGGACGGGCACGGAGCCGCTGCCGAGGGTGGCAGGGACCAGCGGGACGGGCACGGAGCTGCTGCCGAGGGTGGCAGGGACCAGCGGGACGGGCACGGAGCTGCTGCCGAGGGTGGCAGGGACCAGCGGGACGGGCACGGAGCTGCCGCCGAGTCCAGCAGGAGCGGCCGGGACGGGCACGGAGCTGCTGCCGAGGGTGGCAGGGACGGGCTCGGAGGTGCTGCCGAGCCCCACAGGAACCGCCGGGACAGGCACGGAGGTGCTGCTGAGGGTGGCAGGGACCAGCGGGACGGGCACGGAGCTGCTGCCGAGGGTGGCAGGGACAGGCACGGAGGTGCTGCCGAGCCCCACCGGGACGGGCACGGAGGTGCTGCCGAGCCCCACGGGAACCACCGGGACGGGCACCGAGCCGCTGCCGAGCCCCGCGGGAGCCGCCGGGATGGGGCCGGAGGTGCTGCCGAGCCCCGCGGGAGCCGCCGGGATGGGGCCGGAGGTGCTGCCGAGCCCCGCCGGGACGGGCACGGAGATGCTGCCGAGGGCGGCAGGGACGGACACCGAGCCGCCGCCGAGCCCCGCCGGGACGGGCGCGGAGCCGCCGCCGAGCCCCGCGGGAACCACCGGGACGGGCACCGAGCCGCCGCCGAGCCCCGCGGGAGCCGCCGGGACGGGGCCGGAGCCGCTGCCGAGCCCCACCGGGACGGGGCCGGAGCCGCTGCCGAGCCCCACCGGGACGGGGCCGGAGCCGCTGCCGAGCCCCACCGGGACGGGCACGGAGCCGCTGCCGAGCCCCACCGGGACGGGCACGGAGCCGCCGCCGAGCCCCGCGGGAGCCGCCGCCGGCTGATGACGCGCGGCCGCCCCGTGACGCGCGGCTCCCCGGGCCGCCCGGCGGCGCCGCCTCCGCGGAGCCGAACGCGCGGAGCCGAACGCGCGGAGCCTCGGGCCGGGGGCAGCGCCCCGCGGGCCCGCCCGCCCCGGGACATGGCGGCAGGCGGGCGGCCGGCACACGGCGCTGCCGGCGGCGGCCGCCCGCGCTCGGAGGGGCCGCAGTGACGCCTCGCCGCCGCGGGGATGGACCGCGGCAGCGCCGAGGGGG